CTACAAACATAAAAGTATATCTTACATAAACTAACCATCAATCACTTGCAACTAAGCAGCTGTCTGCAACCTCGTAAGTCCAATATAACTGATACGTTTACAACAGGTCTAGTAGTAATAAATGCTACTAAAATTGGAATGGAATTTTATGTCACTAAGCTACTGCAAAGAACCGTTTGACGCTCACCGATTATAAGTACCTATAAAAACCATAGCATACTTCCGTTTGTGTTTGTTGTCTGTTTTACTGCCCCATAACCCTATTTTAAATTCACTGTAAAAATATTCTCCAAGCACATTAACACTACAAAGTAGATTGGAACCTTCAACAACGGTGAGTTAAACTTTACACTACTATAAATCCATAAACATACAACAATAGCAGAATGCAGTAGAGACTGATTTCTAAGAGACTAAAACCAGTAAATTAACCTCGCCTGGTTAACTAGTTCACTAGTTACTAGCCGGTCCTAAGCCCAAGTAAAGAGCGAAGGTTGGGCATAGGGCTAGCGACCCTACGCCGTAAAACAAATCCATCCTCTACAGAAACTTCAAAGCACAAAAAAAATATAAAACATAAAAACAAAATTATTCCTCGCTGAAATCGGAGAGGCGAAATGACGCCGATTGGTGAAAGCCTTCGGGAAGCCAATTGGCTGATGTATCTTCTCTCCCTCACTGAAAGCGAAAGTAAACGTGGAGACATGGAATGTCCGCACCATGTTTGAACCCAGCAAGGCAGCTCAGATTGCAAACGAGATGAGAAGGTATCACATTGAAGTGCTTGGGATTTGCGAAAGCAGATGGAATGGGAGTGGACTCTCCAAACTGTTAACTGGAGAGTCGATAATGTACTCCGATATTGTCACCCAGACGACAATCATGAGCACACTGAGTTTTGGAGTGGCAATCATGATGTCCCCAACAGCATCGAAGACTCTCATGCAGTGGGAACCAATCTCCTCCAACATCAGGATCATAACAGCAAGGTTCAACTCAAAAGGAAGGAAGGTCACAATGATACAATGCTACACCAGGCACCTAGAAATAATGCAGATGAAGAGAAGAAGGAGGAATTGTACAGACAACTGCAATCAACACTGGACGAGACCCCACCCCAGTTGGCGACATCAAAACCCATTCTGATGGGTGGGGTGACATGAATGCCAAACTGGGAGTGGACAACACAGGAAGAGAACTAACCATGGGCCGAGAAGCGCTCGGTGAGGTGATGAACGAGAATGGAGAATTGTTTGCAGAATTCTGCGCATTCAACGAGTTGGTGATTGGAGGCAGTGTGTTCAAGCACAAGGATATCCACAAAGCGAGCAACATGGATTTCACCAGATGGATACACTACACTAAAAATCAGATGGACTTCATCTCAATTTCAAGAAAGTGGAGATGCAGTCTATTGGACACAAGATTAGATGAATAAGGGGAGCAGATGTAGGTTCAAATCATTATCTAGTGCAAGGAACCTTCAAAATCAAGTTGAAAACCTTCAAGGAGGTGTTGGTGATAGACGACCACAGTTAAAGTTCAACACCCAGAACAGAAAGTGAAGGACGAAACTACAAAGAAAATCTTCACGTCAGTCAGCCATCAGAACAAAATGGGAGACATTGAGCAACATGCCTGAAGAAACCTGTGTGGAAGAACACTGGAAGTCTTTGAAAGAGATGTGGAAAGAAATCTGCATAACCGTATTACGAAGGGAGAAGAAAGAACATAGGGAATGGATCTCGATGGATAGATGGAAGCTGACAGAGGAGAGGAGGATGGTGATGCAGAAGATAAACCAGTGCAAGGATGCTCAAAGAGAGGAGGAACTGAGTACGATGTATAAAATACTACACTGGACAAAGAAGTGAAGAAGAGTGCGCGCAAAGACAAAACACACTTGTACGACACACTACCAAGTGAAGCAGAACAGGCTGCAGGTAGCGGAGACAGAGACCTGACAACATTGTATCAAATAACCAGGTTACTATCTGGGAAGAGATCAACGCAGATGAAACCAATAAAAGATGATGAAGGAAATCTAATTACCAAAGAAGATAAACAAAGGAAACGATGGGCCGATCACTTCAAAAAGCTCTTGAATCGACCACCACCACCTGCAACTCGTCCAGAAATACCACAAGCAGTCCAGCCACAGAACTACAAGTGAACACAAATCCTTCAACGAAGTCGAAGTCCTGAACGCCATAAAGCTACTGAAATGCGGAAAAGCAGCAGGACCAGATAGAATCCCACCAGAAGCACTGACAAGAGACTCAGGGACAACAACAGATATGCTCACAACACTACTGCAGGAGGTCTGGAAGGAAGGAACGGTACCTGACGATTAATTGGAAGAAGGGTTACCTTGTCAAACTCCCGAAGAAGGGTGGCCTAAGTCTTTGCAAGAACTGGCGAGGAATCACGCTCCACACCTGTCCACACCAAGCAAAATATTAGGCCACATCAACCTGCACAGACTATAGGATGCACTGGATTAGAAACTACGATAGGGACAGACAGGCTGGATTCAGGAAGTACAAATCATGTGCGGACCAAATTGCAACGCTTCGCATCATCATAGAACAGAGAATAGAATGGCAGTCAACTCTCTACCTCAACTTCATCGACTTTGAAAAGTCCTTTGACAGCGTCAACCGGGAAATAATTTGGCAGTTTCTGCAACATTACGGAATACCACAAACCTTTATCAACCTCATTCAACAACTATATGAAGAGGCCATATGCCAAGTAATTCACAATGGGAAGCTCAGTGATGCATTTGAAGTGAAGACAGAAGTAAAACAAGGCTGTCTACTATCACCCATGATATTCCTGATTGTGGTCGACTGGATCATGCAACAAACAGTGAGGAGCGAGAAGAGGGGGATACGCTGGACCGGGGACAAACCCGATAAGAGGATTTGGATTTCGCCGATGATTTATGTTTAATGTCACACAAACTTGAAGATGTACAGGCGAAAACTAACAAGTTGGCAGAAGAGGTGAGGCAGCGAAGATGGCACTTCAAGTGAGTGTGGAGAAGACAGAGGTGATGAAGATACCCAACCAACAACAGCATCAGCAACAAGCACCCTTCACCATTAACGGGAGAAACCTAAAGGAAGTTGTCTCTTTCACCTACCTTCCTTGGCAGCATCGTTTCAACTATAGGCGGCACAGACGATGACGTCAAAACCAAGACAGGCTTTCATTATTCTGAAATCAGTGTGGAGATCTAATGCACTGCACTGCAGTCAGCATAAAGCGTGAACAAGATCCAGAGTTTCAACACCAATGTCAAGTCAGTGCTGCTATATGGTCCAGAGACTTGGCGCGTTACGAATGGGATTTCCAACAAACTACAGATATTCATCAACAGCTGCCTACTCTGGCTCCTTACTGAAGCTCAGATGGCCAGAATAGTAAGAATAAGCAACAAGAAACTCTGGGAACGAACCAACCAATAAGCTATCGCTGAAAAAATATGCAGAAGGAAGTGGAGATGGATTGGGTATGCAGTGAGAAGGTCGATTGGGGACATCACGCGCTAAGTGAGGCCCTCGAGTGGAACTCCGGTGAGAAGCGACGAGTTGGGCGCCAAAGGGTGACATGGAGGAGATCTTGTGAGGAAGAAATGAGAGCTTCTTGGCTGTTGTGGAACCAGGTCCAAAAAATTTCAGAGGACAGGGTGCACTGGAGACGTGCCACTCAAGCTCTATGTTCCATTAGGAACCCAAGGGACAAATAATAATAAGCAGCTGTCTGTAGAAAAGACCAGATCTCTCTGCGTAAACTATGAGACTACTCAGTCACAAAACGAATTTCGCCGAATACAGTGAAACATTGATGTAAAATATGGGAAACGTAGAAGGACAGGTCATGCTTATATATGCATAAGTAAGTATTGGATGTAGGAATTAATCAGCAGAGTCCTTGAACCAGGTTTTCTTCAAGTTAGAATTCATCATAATAAGGTGTACCTGTTTTTACTTATTAGAACACAAACGTGGTAGAGCAAGAGCATCAAGAAATTCGTCACACAAAATATAATATTATGAAGACATTAGGCGAAGAGAAGTGGATAAAACACAATAGAAACAGAATGATCAGAAAGGAGTCCAGTAAGGTACATTCAAAATAAAACATTTATCAGTCTTCAGCAGCAGAAGATAGGAGGGAGCTGCATCACTGGTTTCGATTCTGAGCCTTATCTGATAACCTCTCAAGCCAGTGAGTCGCGTGATCTCTCGAACTCCATACACGGAGTCGTGATGCACCAACAGATGCTAACCAGATACAACTATCCTTCATCCCGCGGCGCCACGTCATACACAAACCACCAGTCCGCTTCTTTCATTCAGTCCCAGGGTTAGCAAACAATGAATGGTATGGGAGCCGTTGGGACGACATGCGTAACACATATCCAAGCCATCAAAGCCGGTGTTTCCAGATGGTTTCACTTATTGAATGACAATCTCCATCATGCCCACAAGCTGTCGTGCCTCAGAATTGCTTACATGGTGTTGTCACCGGATACGAACAGTGATACGGAGACAACGGTGATCGAATACACAGAGTAGTCGCATATCCTCAGCTCGGAGAGGCCAGGTTTCACAGTCGTAGAGCAGAACTGCTCGAACCAAAGCGTTGTAAACCTGACCTTATACGATCAGACTAACGTCGGTGACGGTGCCAAAGGTGGCCCACATTGACGTATGCCACTCCGGCTTTCGATATGAGGTTGGAAATCGCACCACTCACCAAGTGTACCTGACGTATTGAGAAAACTCATGATGCAATAGAGATTAAAACTTGCGTCACTCGGCTCTGAAGACAGGAAATTAAGCAAGGGATGTGGTTGCTAGTTTCGAGGTGACTAGCAATAATCAAAGCATATCTACCAATTTTACAATATAGCCATTTATTTAACCGACATGAGACTGTGGTGCACTGTGTTTTCATGTTCGCCATTATGAATTGATCGGTAAGCAGCCCTAGGTTAAACATGATAATTCATTTTCAATGAGAAAAAATATATTTGAACGAAAATTTATTACCATAGCTGCAGTAAGTAGCAGTTTGTCAGTTACCGGACGAATTACAGCCAATGACAGAGCATTAACCAAACCCGGAAAAACGTAACAGTTATTTCCTTGACTAGGTACCAGTAAGCGACCATTTGGTGTTTGTACAGGGTCTGAAGGCGAACCACTTACAAAGATGCACCTCCACTGTACACAAATGAAAAACAAACAAGCCAAATAATGACAGTGGTTAACAATGAAAAATACTATCATGTTAAAAGTTACCGTTTCATAAGGATAGCAATCGATAACTACTAAGTCAAACCATAAAATTGACAAAAAATAGTGGATGCTGTGACGGTAAAGCGTTCGAACAAACATCCGCAACAGGTGAATTTACACCTTATTTTGGTCAACGTTCTAAATTCGCCAACAGATTCTGACATTCATAAAAGTACAAAATTCAAGGGAACGGCGCATTGATAAAAACAAACTGAATAGCAAGGATCAAACTCTTGGATCGATTGTTGAATGTAATATGTAACTAAACTCAAGTTGTGAAGTGACGTAAACCTAAAATGTTATGAGTTGTTCCAGTATGTTACGATAAAAACGTTGCTACAGTGTCGTGTCTACAAAAAGTACATACAAAGTGACTGGCAATTCATTATCTGCTGAGAAACAGCTTACAAGCCAAAATCTAAAAACAGAAAAAATTATTTAGCCATTATAATAACTGGAAGTGGCTCACAATTTGTGGCGTTTTACATTTGTGAAGATAACGCAATAGAGAACATTCCGTAGTTGTCGCCATTACCACGAAATAAACGCTTTACAAACAGGTTTGCGAATAATCTAAAACAGACAATGTTAAACAAAAAAATTGTGAGGTCTGCAAGTTATTAGGATTAGTACAACTCATCCTGGCGGAGGTTTGTTGCCTAGGCTATAAGCTGAACTTTCGTGAGGGCTAATGGTACTGACCTAGTTGGCCATGCAAAAGTAGGTGAAACCAGTTTCGAACCCAAGAAGCAATGGCTGAAAACCAAGTTCTAAAAACAACAAGTCTCATTATTATGTTCATGGTATTTTTAAAATAAAACTACACCAAATTTAAATGAACTATGGGGGGGGGGGGGAGTCACCAATATTACGTACGTTTGGTCATTAGATAAGAATTATACATAACACTGCGCTTCTTGCAATATAATGAGAAGCTAATCAACAATACAACCTGATGCAAAACTGAAATTTTCGTTGAAAACACTATGTTTAAAGGGCATAGTTGAGTACCCGTTGTCATCAAAATGAAACATTAGACCAATGCTTTTTAAAGTTCAAGTTGGACAGGGAAATTTGGACACGATACATAGTCAAAAAAGACAAGAAGAAAATGATACTCTTAATGGGATACCACAAGACCTCTTGATAGATACAATTCAACTGAATGAAGTCAAGTAACGATAAGCAAATGAAAAGATGGCAGTCAGGAGTATCTTCATATCAAGAACACAACATTGCGCAAACACTCGTTTAAGGGATACGATAAAGAAGCTGCAGTTAGGTACGAAGAAGTTGTGGGGTCCAGAGCCTGTTTTTTGAAGGCTTTAGGATGAATGAACTCATTTTCCAAAACCCGAAAAAGGCTATATATTTATGAAAACACTCACTGAGTAAAGTGTACAGTGTCCTAATGACATTTAAATAATTAACTAACTACGGGGTTTGTAGCCTGGTATGCACATTTGTACTGCGTAGATGAGTAACGTAACATTTCTTCTGCAACTGTGATTTTGGACAGAAAGCTTATATTAGTATATTATGCCTGGTCGGAACTCGGATCACAGAAAGACATTGTTACAATCCATCCAGACTGTTGGAGTAAAGTGCTGACTTCAGGTCAAAAGATATGACAGATGCTGGGTGACGACAGGTACGTCTGTGTTTCAGAATATGTTGAGGAGTAAAGAACCTTTTTCAAGACTTGGAACGCTTTCGATTTCTTCAGATTTACGGTTCCAGAGATCCAGTTAGCCACTGAATAATGATGGACCCTGGGACCTGAAACACGATATCAGTCGGAATGATTTTTTTGTGGTTACTGCAGGGAAGTTTATTTGTTTTTCTGTACACACTCAAAAATCTAGATTTGTGTACTGAAGTTGTGCCTGGTTCTCATATCTTAGGTAGTAGTTCAGTGAATATAACCATCGATTAATGACTGCCATCGCGTAAGACTTAGTAAAGTGAGTCATTCATTCTTACTACTGTGCTTCCTTTCACGTTTGAAACAGCATTCGAAACTTCGAGAAGAACTGAAATACCGATATGTAAACAAACAAAAGTTGGATTGTGGGGAAATAAAAACGCAGTTGAAGTCAATTGTACTGTTCTATCAAATGTTTTAGCTATCTATTCATAAAGATTGTTGCAGACTCATTTTTCATAACGACAGTTTCGGTAAACACCACCTTTGGACCAGTTTTTTAGTGTTACATCTAGTATCAATTTTTCTATATTTCCGTGCTTTCGTCTCTCACTAATGCCTGTGATCATTACAACATGGATAAAAATGAGCAGTGATGTTATTTTACTGAGCAGACACATTTCTGTAGACACTACATGAGGAAAATATACGTTTTTAATTAACCTTCCTAATGAACAGTTCTATATGATGAGGGTATAGACCAAACAATGTTGGATTGTAATTTAAAATATGTCAATCTGAGGGTTATGAAACTGAAATTACCATCAATAATCTTTATCTGATAAGACAGAATCACATCAAAGGGAACAGGCCAAAGCGTAGCAATAACACGCTAAGCTATCTGTAGTTATTTCGAGACACTGGTGTTCGACAACTGAACTGTTTTAGTGAAGTTAGCAATTAAACCTCCTAATCTTGTGAATACTCAGAAATTTTGTCATGCGAAAACTTTCAGTAAGCGGAAACATTTTAAAAGCCTTACTAATCGTAAACAGCTTGTTAAGAAACATGTCACGGGAAGTATTTCCTTAAGGCGGCGAAAAAGATGTTTTTAATTGTCGTAAATCCCTGAAATTCTCACACAGCTGGGGGCCGGGTGGCATTTCAAGCTTCATACGCATGAAGGACGCCATTCACTAAACTACATTTTTAATAAAATGTTTTCAAATAAGCTCGTAGCAACTGCCAGGAAAGCTATCGAAATAGTTCCAGTAATTAAGTCTCCATCTTTTGGAATGTTTGAAATTTCGACCGATCACAGTTACTTTTCCATTCCTAAAAGTGAGTGAAAAGCGAGTGTTATTTATATCTGGACTCACATTGAAGGTTTTTGGTGATCCTCATCAATTCGCGTACAAACAAAAGAAGCACTTTAGATGACACCACCGTTTTATGCCACATTATTGCTTATAATCTCGACAGAGGTAGCAAATGCTTATTTTGACTATAATTCGGCTTTTGATTCTGTTTTAAGACCTCCTTTGTTGAACAAGCTACCTATGATGAGTTCTGGACTACTAACTCACTGTACTCCTATTCCTCTGAAATGAAGCAAGATACTGTTGATAAAGAGGAACACTAATTCCTTACTTAGAGGCTGATGTTCTTCAAAGTACTGTTCTTTTCCTCTTTTTCTTCTCTTTATTTCAGTACAACCTGGCACTTTCAGGTGGCATCACTTTTGGTAAATATGCTAATGACCTGACAGTTTCCGTGCCTGTTACCTCTTCATCAGATTGTTTTAAATAAAGTGGTTTCTGATATACTATTATACGATGGTTCCCCACGAATGCTGTTGTGCCTAATTTTTTGAAATGTCAGACAATCAATTATAATTTCAGACCCGAAAATGACCTGTGCAAGTTTCATAACTCTTGTTTTATTGGTGGCTTTGTATTGGAAAACGCAATGAATGTCTTCCAGTACCTTACTAATTTTCAAAAGAATCTACCAACTAACTTTCTACACTGAAAAGCTAAGAGTTTCTGGGATGACTCAGTTATAAACTCCTGCATCTCGACCATTATCCTCTATTTCTCCTCGAGTTCTCTTTTGGGTTACTGAAAAAAGAATATTCTGTATTGCTCAGAACTTTGAAGATTGTCGACAGAACTAGTGATGTAACTCTAATCCTTCTAATTGACACTGCTTTGAACAACTTGACTTATGTAAACATCTGGCAGGAGTTATTTTATCAGATGATCAGTATTCTCTTTACTCAATATCTTCTACTTGTCAATCCAGTCCCTAGGCAAGACCAGGAGCAACTCTATATAGGACTTCATGCACGAACTACTAAATTTGAGAATTTCAACCATACCTTATTTAGCTCGTATCTTGTATGAGGAATAAAGTGTTAGAAATGAACAAACTCACCACGTGTTTCTATAGCAAGTGGATTAAAGATTATATATGTTGGTTGGAGGCAATCGGCAGGAAGCCCTGGACCTAGGTTTAGTGCTTTTTGGCACTCATCCGCAAGGCGCGTCTGCAACCTCGACGGAACTGATGTCTTTCCTGAGACTCGAACCCGCGCCACCCAGCGTCGTAGCCAGAGACTTTACCACTGAGCTGTTCGGGCCGCGAGTGGTCTCCTGTAGGACTGGCTTACATGTATTGATTGGTCACGGGAGTGCAACCAATTTCATGTTGTCTAGTCCTGAGTGCAGACTGAATTCTATCGATCATATTTGCAATGTGGCAACCAAGTTAGGAAGCTCAGCGCCGCGGCCCGAATAGCTCAGTGGTAAAGACGCTGACTACAACACTGGGTAACGCGGTTCGAATCCCAGGCGGGACATCAGTTCTGTCGAGTTTGCAGATACACCTTGCTGACGAGTGCCGAAAAGCACGAAACCTAGGTCCAGGGCTTCCTGCCGAGTGCCTCCAACCAACTAACATCTATCAATGCGCACCGCGATGCTGAGCTTCCTAGCTCGGTTGCAACATTGCAAATATGATCGATAGAAATCGGTCTGCACTCAGGACTAGACAATATGAAATTGGTTGCACTCCCGTGACCAATCAATAAAGATTGTGTAGCTTGCTGTAATTTATGCACTGTGAATCTAATTTTTATTCTAGTGTTTACCACTGTCACCTGTTTAAAAAAATGAAGACGTAGGTGGATTAAATATTTTTTAGCATAGATTGTTTTCACTTTTCTGGTGTTTCTGTCCTATTTATGCTATACGACATACAGGAAATTCTGTACGATATCTCCGAAATATCCTTCACAATGAAGCTACTAGCATTACTATCACTATCACACAGAAGAATTCCAGACTTAATGACAGTGACAGTATACATCGGTGAAAAGAAAATTAAGCGAGATGACTTGATATTTATTACAATGACGGAGATACATCAACTGGATCTTCTTGAAAGTAAAGAGCACTGCATTATTCCTTACAAGAATACTTGTTGTTCCATATTCTTTTCTCCTTATTTTTGTCCGAACTAATCTTTGATTTGACTATTTTTGACTTTCTGTAGAAAGGCTTATTGGAATTGCGGAATTTTAACTGAAGTGATATTGTGCTGAATTCTCCACTGTCACAAACTAAAATACGCACCAATATGTGAATGTACAAATCTAAAGCGTATCGATAAGCTTAACACCGTAATTTAAGGAACATGTTGTGTTATCGGGTAACTTGACAATTAACAGATAAAATAACTTACTTCAGTGGCTTTGTAAGCCAACTGCGCACTGCATTCAGCTAAATTAGATGGATTACTCAAAACGAATACAATAGGGATTTTGTTATTAGTAGACATTTCACGAAGGATATCACGCGTGAATGCACCCGGTTTTGCAGAAGCACCTGTAATCAGAGTAAATTTTTACATGGAAGCAGATCCTTGGTGAAACTGGGAAAAGAGAAGACTAATGACAACATTCACTTTGATACATCCTCAAAAATAAGGATAATGAATAGAGAAATTTGTTCAACCAATAGAAATTAAGAATAGGAAATGATAAGAAAACCTTTTAATTTCCGTAATTTCTGTCGTCTGATACACACCCGGTGCAAACATTTTTTTGAGCACCAACGAAGGAAGGAACAGACACAAACTTAGGGAGTCCGTTGGTGAAACTAACCGTTCATATTACTGACAGAAACACTATCCACCTCCAATGAGTAGTATTTTCCTTCTTATCCATTGTCTAGATACATTTTTCATTCCGACTATGGTCAAATGTCTTTCAAAACTCGAAATGGTCATCATTTTTTTCTTTTTCTTTATATGAAGTAAACTACATAAACTTGTGGTTTAGGTGGGTGATCTTGGTTGCTTTGTTTTCACTGGGCTAAATGGTTTAATCGGGAACATCTTACTCTTTTTCTAGACAACATTATCAACACGCACTTCAATATGAAGCTAGTGTTGATGTTTTCTAAAAAGACAATGAAAGCATTGATGATTAAACCAGCTAGCTGAGAGAATGCAACCAAAAATTATATTTATCTTTCTAATAAAATATGCAATTCAAGACTTCTTTACTATCAAAATATTTTAAATACTTGTGAATATTCGCTCGTTTAAATTTGTACTCGGTTAAAAGTGTAATAAAAACAACTTTCAAATCAAATGGAGGAAAACAGGAAACTTTTTATAGGTTCATGGTTAAAATTATGCACATCCTTAATAGGTATATTTTCAAAACATCCAGTTAATCTTCAACTGTGAAAAAATACAACACACTCATTTGCCGTTTGCTTCTTGATAGAGAACAGTGATATACATCTCGGTATAACGGTGCAAAAGTTCGGCGAAATTACCTAGTGGGAAACATGGAGTGCAACTTTTACGTTCGACTGAGCTGATAAGTTGAGATACAGGCTTTCTAGAACACAAAATTCTTACTACCGGTAACAGTAAACAACAGACCAAATGGAACTCAGTAGCCACTACCGGCTTTGTGTATTATACTACAGTCTTCTGTTGTGAGAGCTCATGATATTAACTAGTTACCGAAACTTCAACAAGTGAATTAAAACTCGAATTTTTGACCCATTAGTTGAAAGTCGTGTACACTATTCAGGTTACCATGGCTTTACAAATGACCATAATTCTATTTTGGAGACAGTGAGCATCAGTAAGATTATATTTTCTAGATACTGTTACTGTCTACAATAAACAATTGAGGCTATTACAAAAAATATTCATTTGATAAGCGAAAAAACAATATTTGTACGTTTAGAAAATCCATATTATAAATTGATACACAGAGTAGCGAACAAAGAATATTCTTCTCAAAAACCTATTCCTCTGGTTCTACAACTGTATTTATACAGCTAAGTCAAATAATAAAAAGTCTGTGACCTTTTTCATAACAATCATTCGTTAATATCAGACATTTCAAGGATTCTATTCAGAAAAAAGACAAATGAAATACAACTTCAGAGTCAAATATTTCTGGGAATCAGTTCAAAATAATTTTTTAAGCAAATGATAATATGTCAGACAGTGAGACATTGGTACTTGCTGGATAATGTTTCGGACACAATTTATTGTCCATACTCATAACAAGTAACTTCACAACTTTGAAACATGGCTTATATAATCCCAATCGTTTCTTCTTTTTTATGATGAGAGTATGAGAATTTCCAATATATCTAGAACAGGTGGCAAACCATTCCTATTTACTTGTAACTGGTGTTGATTTGATAAGAAAAATTCGGTTATCAATCTCTGATCACCACAATAAATTCAGTTTTTGATACTGTCGCTGCGTCACATCCTGTCATGTGCAGTCGAATTCAAAGTAGCTGCCGTAATTTTCTCTGATTTTTTTTTCCATCTTGTAAGGATCTATCAATCTACATTTAGTTACATTCTTGTGCTCGGACAGTCTAAATGACCTTGGTCGGCAACTCTGACCTTATAATTATTGCAAGGGATTTGGCGAGTCAATTTATCTTAACAACTTAGATCAATAGGAAATTTTAACCTACAAGGCTTGTTTCTAAGCGAGTTTTCTGGTTTAAATGCCACCCTAATCATAGCCTTAATAGGAATTCTTCGTAGCGCTTCCGAGGTGCCTTCCTTGTATGGTTATAGTAAGGGTTTTGAATTTTCTCCTTACTGTATGACCATTATTATCATTGCCACAACCAATTCGATTATTATTATTCCCAATACTGTTAATAACCTTATCAACACTACTGCTTACACTTTTCTTATAATTTCCTATGAATTTATTAATACTCCAGGGGGATAGTTACTGAAACGTGAGGTATTCCTAGTGTATGCAATATATCTCCTCAGATTTTCTGTCCTACTAGTAAGCTGATTCTTCTTGTTACTCAGACATTTAATCAAAGCCACTTCAACTGATATAGGGTAAGATAATTTAGAATTCAAGTGGCAGCTTGAATGAGGTTTTATGTAGACATTAGTGTCTAAATTTCTATCTTGTTTGCACGTTATCCTGTGATTCAACATCGCTGATTCCCCTAATTTTACCCATGTATTCGACATTATGTCTTATTAGGTACTAGGTGGTCAACATTAATTCCGACTCAGTGGCTCAATGGTAACATACTCGCTGCGAAACATGAAGGTCCTGGATTCCATCCCTGGGGGGGGTCATGGGTTCTAACTTCTGAGAAGTCCCATACTAGGACGGCAAAGCTCTCCAGTGTTTTGAGGTTTTCAATGGTTCTCCAACTGATGTAGTACCGTGAGGAATACCATCTTCAAATCAATAAATCCCGAAAAACTTCCAAAGTCTGAGTATATGCTTATGAATAACAATGGTACATAATTCAACTCGATTAAACAACATATATATTGTGTGTAGAAAGTGAGAAGGAATTTATCGAAAAGAATGTTTTTTCACTAAACTGTGTTTTAGTAGTGGGGAACTGACTATATACGAAGAACTTAAATGATTTCGTTTTATGAGGAGTCTGTGAGGTAAATTTCCACCGTCTGAAAGATTACGCTGATATCATCTCCTGGTATAAACAGCAGAATTTAAGTGAAACTAAAACTATTTATAAATAAGAATGATAATTCTGAAATCAAAAGTCACTTACCAATCAGAACGGATGGTCGAATATGTCGAACACTATCCATTAGTGAATCTAGTTGAGGACAATCAGGGCGAACAAACTCCGACTTTGGTCCCCCAAGCTCATTATCATGACGACTCTTAGAAAAGTGAAAAAGTACAAATAGCCATGAGACAAGCGATATGAATGAATTCATAAGGACGAACAACAATTTTGAAAGTGATGGACGAATTAAGAGAACTACTTTTTAATCACATTGTAACATATGACTTAAAATCTTTTATCGCCGCGTTTACTTTTCAAGAAAATATTTTAAATGACTTTTCACTAAAATGGGATACGTTTTTGACTTTAAGCCCACATTAAAGATAGTAAAGTTAAATATTTTGTCCAATTGTTTCATTTCTTAGATTAGAAGCTTCCCGAAAAGTTATCAATAACTGCGTTCGTAGGTCTCTACTCAAATGCCTATATGAGAAACTTGTTTAACATGGTTATCTAAAAAGCAGAACCAAAACACAATCAGCAACTTCGTGCACATTAGTGCAGCAGGCGATCAGCTACACCTATTGTGTGAGGGCTAATGATATTTCCTGCTTGCCCAAACCTCGGTAGGCGGAGTGGTGTTCGAACGCATGACACAGTGGACCAATGAACGACAAGTCCACTAATAAAAAAAGCAAAAATTAGTCTACATTCATAATTAGTGTAATGCAAACATTGGGAATATACATCCAGGTCAAAAAGAACGATATCAAGAATGTACGCTTAACATGACAATGCGGTCTAAACTTGCTAGAATAACGCAGTCCAATTCACGAGAAGTACGCCAACATCAAGTAATCTTTTAGTGAAACTTGTCTGGTCAACATATCCAGCCAAAAAACATGCTTATTTTTCAGAAACTGCAGGTACTGATCACCAAAACATTATTTAAAACCATATATATATATATATCTATATATCTATATATATATATATATATATATATATATATATATATATATATATATATATATATATATACATAAGCGGGATTCAAATGATTTCGATTTCGAGAATTGACATATGTTGCAGCTTAATAAAGATGACAATAAAACAGGTGAAACCTGGAAGTCTTGACTTCAATCCTTAGCCAGGCTGTGGATGGGAACTGCAGAGGAGTCCCGTACTAAGGCCAAACAGCTGCCCAGTGCTCCCAGGTTTCCAACAGTTCTCTAACTGATGTCAGTCTGTGGTGAATGCTACTTTAAAAACAAATCTCTCTTAACCTCAAAATACAGTAATATAACACTTTAATGAGATGCTATGCAATACCGTAAGTCATTCGAAAAAAGTCCGAACCAAGTGTCAACAAAGATGAACCTTCAATGATTTTTCCGTTGTTTTGCCTATTTTTACTTCTGTAATAGGAAACTCAAGTGATGCAGAGTACTCACACAGGTGCATGTGAATATGTTTGAAATCTGGAAAAGTTAACTGAAAATTCGTCCAAATAACATACAGAAGCGATTACTAATGTTAAGGTATAACCCCAATGCATTCAGAAATTAAAACGGGACTTTACAGAAGACATAGGTGCGAAAATTAGAGTTTTCTAAGTAAAAATTACCCGAGATTTAAGAACGAATCAATGAGACTCGGCGTTTGAATGTTTTCATATTATTTTCAACATTTATGAACTGGATATTCACGCGTATAATTGTTTTTCAATAAGTGTCAACAGTCATTAGTCTTGTACATGATTAGAAAGTCAACTGTTTATCTGAATGCTTGTGAACATCTGAAAGCTATATCTTATCGAATTTCAATGAACAGACTATATATCTATATAGTTTGTTTGAAATTCAATTTCGAGATTACTGTGGGCCCATACACACATGTTACTTAGAAAATATCAATAATGATAACATGACACGTTTTGATTAGATTATTGATATCTGAATGTGAAATGAAACTTAAAATTTAACCGTTCCATAATTAAAGTTCATAAAATTCTACTGTTATTATTTGTCTCTCTCTCTCTCTCTGTCGACTTAAACATTATAATTAATATAAACAAAGAGCGTAAAAATTTCGTCATTTCTAACATCCTGGTAAGAAAACACTATAAACTATATGAGAAAATGTAAACAAATATTTAAACATTGCGAACGAAAGATCATGGTCAACCTATCGTTCAACTTAAAAATAATATAGCAACTAGTTATCTGGGCTATACTGAACAACCAACAACTACACATTAGTACAGTTGGAAAAACAATAATGTTACACAAGAACGAACACTTTCTGGAGCACAGTAATTCAGGTATTCTACTGACCGTTCACACAACGACGATCTACAAACTGTAGTTATTCTCATCTCAAAGATATAATCTCAGCTGTCTAGACCTATTAAAAAGGATTGAACTAATTATCAGGGCTCAGTGATTCTGTGTTTTATGAATGCCTTTGCAAACCTAATTCATCTCAATTAACAAAAACTCGAAGGGTTTTGGATGGAAGATATTAAAATCAAGCATAGAAAGTCTACATTTAGTTCAACAGTGCTAAGAATACTAATGTGCCAAACTGTTTGTACCTCCTAGTGTATAGGGAGTAAAGAGCTAATTCAGTTATCTATATCGATGTAAGAATGCACTTCATAAACAGCAGTTGTTATCTCAGAGGAGAGATCATGGAGAGAAAATTGAATAATAAAATTTCGTAATTCACAATCAAATCTAAGACACTAGTTCGGTATTTCAGACTACTCAAATCAGTAGCGAAAGTGAAACAAAAAAGAAAATTACTTGGAAGAGGTAGGATTAGCCGTATGTGAAATGCAAAGAACGGAAAACTAGTTCAAGACGTTTAAGCGTAAACAAAGTTCTCTCATACTGTGTTTCTCCAAGCAAAGGTTAATAAAGACAATCTCTTCAAACTGTCTGTATAAAACAATAAGCTGAACAGTGGCTGAATCGACATCGTATGATATGGCTGATACAATTTTCCTAGGCGGTAACCATTGTTCATCTCTGAAGGATGTAAGTGACATTGATCTGAGGTTCTTCAAAAGTGTTTCTATTCAGATTTTCACATCTGCAAAACTTCTTTCTATCTTTAGATACCTGATTATTGAATATGGAATAATTCGACGAAGAAAAGTTGAAACGAAAGTTAGTGAGGGTGCATTTTTCAACATAAACACACAATAAAAGCACCTAATTCGTTGCCAGCGTCTAAACAGGACTTGGAAAATCCTTCGGAAGTTTTTCACGGACGCTGGTTAAGTGCAATTTGAGCAGCCTGGATGACGTCGTACAGTAAAATGATATACCTTGCGCACTCAAATTCAACAGACAAACAGGATTGAAGAAATCAACCTAGAACCCCGTACATAAGAGCATCAGTTCAAGATCGAAAAGTCTTTCGGCAGTTAACAGGTCCACACTACCATCACGCAATTTGGTCAGGATTCTTCAAGTGACACAGCTGGAAAATGATACTGATCTACTCCCTCTCTGACGTCTGCTAAAGCTCGAACATTTTGAATAAACCCGACTTTCACATTACTTTTCCTCCTACCTTTTCCTAATTTGATACCACGTATTCTTGACCCAATGGCGTTGTTAACATACTACTGTGGCAATTTAAACCGATGCACTTCAGTGCAAGGTTTGCAACAATGGAGACGGGTGGCTGTAAGCCTTCAACTTATCCTCAATGAGGTATTGAAGAATACGGTTTTCAAAATGCTTACAAATTTGTCAGAAACTCCCTGAAATGAAAAATAAAAATATTTTCACTCGCAGACATCTATAGAGAAACTTTAGAGGGTAGTTCCAGTGAACTGGCGACCCAGAGATTGAGTGTAACACTGGTGTGAGAAAACCTTCTTCATCCATTGTGGAAATGTGTCTTATAATTATTATTCAAGCAACCTACCAAATTTTATATGGAAACAGCTAAGGACGCATACTCAGATATGCGGAAGTGATAGCCATTATTTATTTTTTAGATCAAAATCTTTGTATAGAACCAAGGTAACTTATAAAGCAACACGAAGGAGATACGAAAAATAGAAAAGATCAATGAGTTTATGAAGTATCATTCTTAAATATACATTCAAGGAAGCCCCCAACACTCATTTTATATATCAGCAATACAAGAAGTGGAAAACTACAGCAAGGTTGCCGTTCTCGACCTTATCTGCTATTGAATTGCAATAATTATTATGCTCCACTGATGGACCTATAGACACTAACCCAGCACAACTATCTTTCGTCAAACAACGTCACGTGAAAAACTGACCAGCTCTCGGATTCTCCCAACCAGTGGCAGGGCAAGCAAGTGCTCCTCTGGGAAAACATACACAACACATGTGAAAGCCATAAAATTGGCAGTTTCAAGACGACCACGCTCAATGATTGTCGTTATCCAGTATGCCTAAACACATCACTTCACCCAAGGTATTTCCACACGATATAAGCTACATTAAAGTAATCAGGAAGTCGGGTCACTGGATATTCAAGGATTGGAAACACCGGGTTTCATGGGCGTCGAGTAGAACTGTCTTCAACTATGCGTTGTACAGCCAATCTTCTCAGAAAGGATAAAACCGCAACGGTGCAAAGGGTGGCCAAGATTGGCACATTCCTCTATGGAATGTGAATACATGAGTAATATATTCACGACCTCAAAGAAACCCAGACTAAACCTCAAAGACTAGATTCTCACGCGCTTTGAATAACCTGTGAAGTATGACGCTACCGATAGCAGACTGATACCACGATGATTATCACGAACATTACTCAGATCCTAACTAAACATGGGTAAAACAGTAGATTCATTCCGGAATGATCAAACACTCTCACCCTATCATACCTTCCAAAAAAAATGTGATCCCCTCCCCGACTGCGATTTCATATCTATCCTTAAAATGACCAGAGGATATGTTCACTGAATCGAGTGCCGTATTGGAGCTTCAGTACCTGGAGTTTCTTACGGACCTCTGCTTCGTCAGACAAACTGGTGTTATCGAATCATGGAACACAAGACACTGAGGTCGATGTTGCTGGGTCAGTAGGCCAGCTGAACTGCTTTGACCAACATTTCAGTCATCTGGATAAGTGCACCATCTCCTTCACAGACATCAGGCATTTAGCAGGTGGCTCCGATAAGATGGAACAATTTCCCACTAGTGTTAAATGCAGCTGCTACTTCCTTCTCACTCTCATCTTATTATCACCAAATTTCGCGGTCTCTACACAAATGCTGTTTGATGTGTCACGTAAGGGACTTACATGCATCACTGTATGCACTCCCTCGTGAAAACTTCGACTAGTGTTGCCCAGCCAATTATGCACAACATCTTTATCCCGATTCGGAGCTCAGCAATGCGAAACCATAGTCGCCTATGCAGTTCAGTTCAAGGGTACAAATTTTCATAATGAGCACGTTACAATTCAGTCACTCGGTTGAAATTTAGAGGTTCATATATTTGAACTTCTGACAACTGGTGAACCATTTCAACTACTGTCCTCTGGCTTTACTGGGAGTTATCATTCTTGAAACATAATTAATTTGGCCCAAAAATTGCAGTGTTCAGTTAGAACTATGGAAAACTTATGTTAGGGCCTGATAGAAATGAGGACAGATTTCCTCAGTGTTTGAAAATTAACTGACTTCACCTGTCAAAAATAGCCCAACAAACTGAATTTTAAGACTGCTTACTTTTACTTAACGCATATAAAACGATTAAGTATAGTGTAACAGAAGATGGTTTATACCCTAAACGTTTTGACTTACTGAGACTATCAAACCCTGAGAATCCATCATGTAAATACGTGATTTTGCTTCGTCTTCCGAACACCCTCTTCCATTATTGCTTGCACTAGTAAGCGTGCAATGCCGATTGAAGCCTACAAGGAAAAGGAATGAAGGCATAAATGTTAGGTGACACATCGAACAAGTTACTAATATCATGAAAAAGATGATACTATGTTTTCAAAATAGCATTCATTGAAATAACCGTAAAATAGTCAGTAAACATTGTGACAGGAGCTACATTGTAATTATTGGATTAATGAGCTTCGTCCCGAGTCCTAAACGTTAAGGCCGTATAAAAACTAACGAGATGAATTTCAACATAACTTCAAAATTAACTGATGTAGTGTATTTCAAAAATAAAATTAATCCTTAACTGTATTAGAATCCAAGGAAATATTACATCAAGCAAGTTAGGATGAATAATACACTGAATCGCTGGAATGGAAATAAGTAAAATAATTTTTGAACCTTATGCTGCCTAAAATCAGGAAAACCATATACGTTTACAAAACACGGAAACTGTGAAACCGTTAAGAGTGACACAACCTTTGTGTTTGACGAAGTCTATAATTTCGACGGTTCTCCCGGACGATAGCTTCGAACTTGGTGTGATAGTACGGAGTGCATATCACAATGACCCGAGACATACTGGTTGTAACTCCTATCCCTTGACATTCTTACATAACAGAAAAGTTATCAGATTGTATTTAGGCAAAAATTAGTTACCGCCGAAGCGAAATTACAACGCCATGATGCGGTTCCAAATGAGAAGTTGTAAAACTGGTTGGACAAGAGTGATGACAGTAGCATGTCTCCCACAAATGGCTAGGAGTACCATGCTGATGTTGACTTGCCAGTGACAAACAAGGGCTATTAAAAATTAACCCAAATATATAATACCCCTCCCTGACTAGAAGTATGACGGTACAGTCGGTGTGGCTTTCCCGAGTCCCATACTAGCAAAACTGGTTTCGAAACCAAACTACAAGCTTGTCTGGTGGCTCTAATACGTGAGCCAGGGACTCTAAGGTCGCGTACAACTTTTGCTTATCTAATTTCTTGCTAAGGTACTGTAGAACTAACCTCCGACAGCTTCAGATAAAGACACAAAATTAGTGCGGAACGTTGCACAAAAGTGAAAATCTACACACTTCACAGCAGCATGTAAATAACACCAGCAAATAGAGAAGGACTGATACAAAAGTACACAAAAGGTGGAGGAAAGAGAATGAGGAAATCAAGGTTAGTCAAAATGCTCAAGCTTTAGCAGACATCAAAAAGTGAACACATCTACCCCATTCTGACAGATTTTCAACCAATTTAAAAGTCTGCCAACTTGCCTCGACAGGTCATAGTAATATGCAATCTTCACTACCACATCAAGGTAACAGCTAATGGTTGGTCTTTACGGAGAGGAATGGAGGTAAGTGGCGGCCACCGTCACGATTATCACTGCACTCAAATTTCATTAAGGACATCGTGAACATTCCACATCCTTGCCTTCTAGGCATTGTTTCAATTTCCTATTCGTCCCCTAGCCTGATAGGGATTCGTTTTTATCACAGAATACTCCTTAGCATACCTTTATTACACAGACGACATCCTCCTGGTAGGTGAAGATACTAAAAACATACAGTCTCCTGGACACATCAACTGACAATTCGAGAGCGGTTCTCATCACCCAAATGCAAACTATCGCCACACCATTCGTCGGCGTTACCACCTCGTCTAGTAATAAGAAGTGAATTGGTTGAGAACATTCACAACTTCACTACAGATCAAATATTGTTAGTCAGCGGCCGACGAAATCTCTGTACGGATACAAAACCATTTATGGTGCTGCCGTGATATCCAACTGCCTATTAAGAGCCCACTTTTATTGAACTCCATTTCTCTCTATTGTATTCATTGGCTGTGAAATATCGCCTCTGAAGATAGAGAACATGAGAAGGATTCAGTTGTTCAACCACCGTTGCCTTCGCAGCATAGTTTGTGTACCATAGTGTCAGTAAATCAGTAACGTAGGAGTCATGTGAAGAGTTTTGAAGGGAATAGGAAAATCAGTTGATGAGGTTGTAGACTTTCATCGACTCAGGTGGTTGGGAAATATCTTACACATGTCTAGTCACCGTCTGCCTCGTCGCACAACCTTGGCTGAAGTAGGTTCAGGCTGGAAAATAGTTACAGATGGCCAAACTAAAACGTGGTATCGGTGCATGAAATCGTTGACTGTTGATCTGAGTTGTATAGGGGAATGGAAACTTCCTGTTTAGGGTTCGCATGACAACCGAAATCAGTGGTTGAAAAACTCCAAGTGATCTGGGTCATAATAGGTTGCAATGGCTCAGATGCATCCAAGGATAACCTTCAACAAAATCGTCATACCGAATTTCACCACCGTCTCACTCCCTCTGGTTCTCTTTTCATATCTGTCTACCACTTTTGACAATTTTTTTCCTAGTTTCCATACCTTTTACTTTGATGTTTTCTCTCCTGATGTGCAGACTAGAACTGTTACACAGTGATGCTAGGTGCAATGTTCACATAAATCTTTTTATTGATCAAACAACACTTCAGC